TCTCATTGCTGGCACACCCGGGCGATGCGTTTCCTTGTGTACCTGCTGGAGTGTCACTGCAATTACGAAGCGTACACTTATATCTTATAACAGCTGGGTCGATGGTGCTAAACATGTGTTTAGGGACTTCGTAGATTGGTAGCCCGAACCAATCAGCTAGGGTCTCGTTTGTTTCACTAGTGAGTGTAGACTTTGCCTGTAGACTGTAGACCTAATTGCGTTTATTTTAACGGGTTGCCGCTTTAACCCGCGCCCCACTGGGGTCTGTGTATAACACGCCCTACTGGGGGGGGGGGGCTATTCATAGCCCCCCCTCCTAACTCCGAAACTACTGGGCCGATCGTCAAAATTCAAACGGCGTCTGATAGCCCCGGAAAAACTGTCGAGCGAAACCTAATTTCATTGACCTCGAGGTCACCGATGACGTCACAGGTCAGGTCAAAGTAAAAATTATTAGCACTTTGGCTTGTTCACATTTTGGGCTCTGGCCGCCGTCTTACAAGTCAGATCAGGCTCATTTTTGGTTTCCACACTCGTGAACAGATGCTCTAGATACCTTGAGGGTACCAAACTTGTACTTTGATTTTCAGGTCAGGGTCAGGTCATCACAGGTCACGAAAATATTATATCATGCGTCGGTCACGTGACACATGTTTTATGGTCCATTTAGGCCATAGATTTCGAATTTGATGTCGTCTGTGTCATTCAAGGTCATTTTGAGTCGAAATTAGCTTAGGTCAGGTCACTTTCAGGTCAAAAAAGGTCAAATTTTGAAGTTGAAATTTTTCAACAAAAAAGGTGTCTATTCGATGCAGTTTGAGCTCAGGAACACGATGGTGCCATTTATATTGGTGTACGATGCCAAATACGTAGGGGAGAGTGGGGCAAAGCGGCCACCCTAACGGTTCTCACGATGCCAACGCTTGATTTTTAAACTTGGAAAGATTCTTTCTATACCAATGTGATCCCTATTAAGTTGCCTTTTATTTCAACTGCGTTTTATTTCCAAAGGCGTTCACATATGAAAGATATTGACAAAACTTTAAACCTATGCATATTGGCCACTTTGCCCCATACCCTGGGGCAAAGCGGCCACCGGCGTCTTCTCAAGTCCCGATATGAGAAACAAAATAATTGCCTCGTGTACGACTAGGGTATTTGATGGTGACAAGGTTAAGCGAGGATGGATGTTTACTTTATCATCTTCCACCTGTAGGTAAACAAAAAAAGGATTTTCATGAACATAAACATTTATTTGCATTATTTGGTAACTCGTGCAAATGAGAAGTGGCCGAGATGAATGCATGACGACACATTTCAATATAAATAATGTTTTTTATCCAGATGGAAGCAACTTATGGCCAATTGGGGGGTGGCCACTTTGCCCCGGCCACTTTGCCCCGCGAATACCGTCCGAGACAAAAATATTCCAGCTTAGCTATTAGTGGGGTAAAAAACATTAATATTGGTAGAATACATGTACGATAACCATGCAATGCATGGACAAGATTGCTTATAAAAATTCCAAACGGTTATTGAATAACATAACATTTAAAAATTGTAAACATAGTTGGTAACCTGGCAAACAATGTTTTTCCGTGTTTCACAGAACAATGGTGATGGGCCTGAAACCCCGGTCTGGCTCATTCGAACGACCGTGGAGAGAAGCATAATGGGAAACCATAAATTGGAACTGACGCCAGCTATGAAGGGCTAAAACGATGGGTGGCCGCTTTGCCCCGGGTGGCCGCTTTGCCCCACTCTCCCCTACTGAAAAATTGATTTGAAAAATTAATAATTGTGAATTTTTTGCAATAATGCGTATAACTTGGCCATTTTTGAAGATATTTAGCTAAAACTTGCTAGAGTTAGTCATAATCCTGCGTTCTGTCACATATATTCCGGTTTTTTTTCGAAAAGTCAAAAACTTTTTGAAAAAAATATAAAAATATAAATTTTGAATATTATTATATAAAATTTTCGAAATTTTCAAAACTTTGAAAATCCGAGATAGCAGTTTGATAGCGCGGTCAATTCTGAGTTCTTTCATGCAAAGAAATTGGATCTAGCTTAAAAACTGAGCTCTTGGGAGCAATTGCCGTGGTTCAATGTTTTGCGTCGAAATCGGCCGAACATGACGTCACTCTGACGTCATTTCCGGCCGACCTATGGTAGCTACGAAGTTCAAATTTTGACACAAGGTGTCAAATTGATGCAGCCGAAGGTACTGAAAGTTTGGCGTCGATTCGTCAAGCGGTTTGGAAGTTATTGCAGAAAAACGGGAGGGGGGGCTATAAATAGCCCCCCCCCCAGTGGGGCGCGGGTTAACATGAATGTTCTGGATCTGGGACAAGCGTGTGCTGCGAACACTGCTTCGTAAGTTGTTCGGGGTTCTACTTACGGCATAATTGGAAAGCTCCTGTCGGTGTGGCTTGCGTGTACCCAGCGCCGCTCGCCCCTGACTCGGTCCCTGGATTCGATTCCGCGGGTGTTCCGCCTCTGACTCTGTCTGTATTCTGTCGGCAGAACCCGCTGCAGGTGCTGGTGACGGCTATCGTCAAGTCGGGCCCGCGCGAGGACTCGACTCGTATCGGTCGCGCTGGCGCCGTGCGCCGCCAGGCGGTGGACGTGTCTCCTCTGCGCCGCGTCAACCAGGCCATCTGGCTGCTGTGCACGGGCGCGCGCGAGGCCGCCTTCCGCAACATCAAGTCGATCGCCGAGTGCCTGGCCGACGAGCTCATCAACGCCGCCAAGGGCTCATCCAACAGCTACGCCATCAAGAAGAAGGACGAGCTGGAGCGTGTGGCCAAGTCGAACCGTTAATCAGTGCGCCGCGAGTGACACACTGCCGGAACGAATACAGTGTACCGACAGTGAGCGCTGCTCTTTGACGGGACGGGGCGAGGGGAGAGGGGCGGTTCAGAGACACGCACGGTCTGGAGCGACGCTGTACGGGTACGCATTACTATGATTTCCAGCAGAATAACACATAACTGGGCAGTCGCCCATGACTTGGCTGTCGCACATAAAAGTGGAGCGGGAAGTGCATAGGGGCGAGACGATGCTGAGCCAGCGAAACGCGATAAAGCGACAATGGGAGAGACGGGCTTAAAGGGACAGTATCACCATTTTGATGAAATTTGACATTGCATAGGCCCCACCTTTCTGGTCCGGGAACTGAAGACCGATCCTCGAAGCTCCACACCGTTATCCCGCTATCGCCGCTCAAAGTACGAAAGGTGTACTACACTTTGAATCGTGCTTCACTATCTTCACTGTTTAAATGTTTGCGCCGTTTTGAATTGACCGCCAGTAATAAAACTTTTACCCTGGTCATTTCATCCAATTTTATAAAGTCAAAACGTTTTTCGCACTTATTCATCACCGTTAAATTCATTAAATAGTCGTAGGCAATTTCCGCTGTTTCCTTCGGATTCTAGCGGCTCAACAAAGGAATTCCTCCAGCTTGAATCACAATCTCCCTCCAATGTATGACGTTTATCACGTGATTGTCACGTGATATTTTCTCCCATTGTCAATTGTCACGTCCCATTGTCACTCCCTCCAGTTGTCACGTGATATTTTTATAGGCAATACCTAAGGCTACCTCTCCCTAAGGACAACTCAATCAGAAGAACGACCGCGTAAGCGTAGCGTCAATAATGTATTATCTGCGCCAGTTCTGTAGTAATTTTGCATGCTTCCAAAATGGCGGCCATGCTTGTATAGTGGTGGTTCGCTCATGAAAATGAATCATGAAAATGAAATGTGGTTGCAATATTTTTCACCGAGTTCGGTCCTCAAACTATGTTTTTCTGTATCAGGAAAATAAGAAATGCTAGTAAAAAAAAAATCAGCTCCATACATTGATTTTTTTTTCGATGATACTGTCCCTATACTTTCGATGATACAAGTCCGCAAAGCGAGACTTGATCGGCGGGGTTGCTGGCGTCAAGCGTCCTTGCGTAGCTGACCAAACGCGGTATTCATATCCGTAAAAGCACGAATTTTCCATGCGAATGTGGATTTACAGCTCGTCATGTCAAGCATATAACTACGTAGCGCAAGGATAAAAGGCGATTCTCATACAGATAGTTATAACGAAGTCTGGAGCGTACAACGGTCATCTTGGCTTTATTCAGACTGCCCCAAACAGGTGCGTGGTTCAGGTGGATTGAATTGGCTCACCGTTCATAATTGTTTTGGATTTAACAGCGGAGACTTTCTACGTCAGCTACGTTTGAGGTGTGTGGAAATGGTCAGTCAAAAATGAGGCTTATCACTTAGTATGCTGGTCGACTGAACGGATAATATTTCGGTCTAGGAAAAGGCTATTGTATCTAGAATTAGCTCGACCCATCCGAATCGGATTCCCGGGCAAGGCCTGTGACTTTGTCGATCCTTGGCTGCTTGGAACGGCGTGAGTTGTCAGTTGCACTAAGATTAGCACTTCGTCCGCTGGAATCAGTGCTGAGGTCAAATTACACCGCAATATAGATTACTCAACTTCAGTCGTCTCCTATGACAGCACAGCGGCACAGCGCCCTTCGAAAACAGAAGCGACTGCATGGTGTGAAATCCAAGGTTGTAATGTAAACTATCGATCAATTAACAGTCTCCGGGCTTGTGTTAATTTGGGCAATTCGAAATGAACGGCCATTCAGTGCCCATTGTCCAATAAAGATGACGAGATGCGACATTACCTATTTAGTATTTACCTTAAGTAAAGGTCATTAGATACCCTGGTATGTGTCATTACATATTGGTATGTGTGCAAACTGTGATGCCCTAATCGCTTGAATATTTCTGTTATTCTGTAGTACTGTTTCGATGTTGCAGTAACGTTGAGCAAATTTGCTCTAGATAATAGCCTTCCTCCATGATAATAGCCAAGATAGTACTTTACTAATAGATAAAAACCGGCAATGTGAAGGGAAATATGGAATCCCTAAGCTGCAGAGATTCTGGCGCGTATGTTGCAAGAACTGGCGCAAATTTTTCGTCATTTTCAGCCTTTCGCAATCCGTCACCGTTTATCGAATGAACGTGAATTTAACTCGTTTAACTGAAAAAAATTGAAGATTTAGGTACATTAAACGCTTGCGCCTAACTCAAGTTTATTTCTGTCATTACTGGGAGATGAATAACAGGATCGTTTTTTAACTACAGTCACATAGTGTACCTAATGCTCTGAAAGCTAATGTTAACTTTTTGTTAACCACTTAATTAATTCAGTTAGAACTCAGAAACACTCAAATATGTCAGTTTATATTCAATTCAAGCAAATCAGCACATTGATGGCACTTCATTCATGGAAGGTAGGTCGAGTTAGCATCATACAGGAAGTACGGGATCACAGGAATGCCAATTTATATTGTTTCGTGGAATCTGATTGTTCCCTAATGCTCAGCTGCCATTAAATTTGCTGTTGAACTACTTTTCTATTTGTCATTAAATACTTTGTATTTATTTTCTCATCCTTGTAGACAATTGCTTCAGCCTTTGAGTCACACTACAAAGACTCAGATGGTTATTGGTCAGATAGGCAACACAAACTGAAACTGAAACAGCTGTCAGGTGATTGCTGAAAAATGTACAACTGTGGACAAAATTAGGCCTGATCAATTGTTTTATTTGTTTGAATTTAGGTACAGATGTTTTATTTGTTTGAATTTAGGTACTCAGATGGTTATTGGTCAGATAGGCAACACAAACTGAAACAGCTGTCAGGTGATTGCTGAAAAATGTACAACTGTGGACAAAATTAGGCCTGATCAATTGTTTTATTTGTTTGAATTAAGTCATGGGTAGTGAAGATAGAGTATTTGTTAATTCTAAGTGGTGTTTGTCCTGTTATTTTGAGCCTTTAATAAGCTCAATATTTTGTAGATTTTAGATAAAATTTAGCATTAATATGGTTCATTTAATGAAATTCTTATGATATTATATAGGTATGTAAATTCAGCATAACTTTTATCCTCCTTTTTCAGATATCAGTAGGCCTCAATGTTTTCCCTTCCACTTCTTTTTTTGTCTTGATGCTTATAGTAACCAGTAATTTTCAATGTTATTTTATGTACTATTGCTCACATATGAGGTGGGGTCTGACTATTTGTCCAATGAATGTAGCAAATGAATGTCATTTTTGAAACTAGACAGCTGTTCTGTGTCTATTGATATAGCAATAACATAAGCACACCGACAGTTATATCCACCCCACACATCATCTGGACTTTTTTCAGACTGTTCACCCACACCGGCCCCTGATCAAGTTTAGGAATGGTCCACATGCAGGTATGTAGTGCATACAGTCTGGCTTTTCAAGCAAAGTAGTAGAACTGCTTGACTTATGTATGTGTTTGACTGAGATATGCATGTGTATACATTTTCTGCGTGCTCTTGTCCTGTTGTTTTGCAAAAGTGTCATGCTGTTTTCTTTTTCTTGCCTATTTCAGGCGAAAATTTTGATTTCTAAGGCCTTGCAAGCCAAAGCATCCAGTTGAGCTATTAATAAACAATATTGCACGTATATAACAAATCACTAAGCAAAACTGAGTGTTACTGTCGCTTATCAGCCTGGTGGCCCGGAGTTTCTGTCATTCCACCCTTTAGCGACCTCGGAACGGCCATCGGTAACATTGCCTCCCTCCTCAGTGGCGGGTGGTGTCTCAGTCCTATCCCCTCAGCGGCCGGTGGTGTCTCAGTTCTATCCCCTCAGTGGCGGGTGGTGTCTCAGTCCTATCCCCTCAGCGGCGGGTGGTGTCTCAGTCCTATCCCCTCAGCGGCCGGTGGTGTCTCAGTCCTATCCCCTCAGCGGCTGTTGATGACATTGTCCTCTCCCCGCAGCGACCTCTGAGTAGTGATCGGCCAGCGGTGGCATAGTCCCCTCCCTCAGTGGATAGCAGTGACGTCTGTTTTCCCGCAGCGACCTCGGAGCGGCCGGCCGTACACGCCTCGCCGGTGACGGCGGCGCCTGCGCCGGCCGCCGCCAGCGCCCCTAGCGGCGGCGGCCGCAGGTGGACCACGGTGCAGTCGGGGCCCGTGCTGGAGGAGTGGCAGCTGCCGGCCCGCTACCGCCGCCTGCCGCTCGAGGAACGCGAGATCGAGTGCATCAATGTGAGTGGACCCGCTGCTGGCCTGCCAACTATGAGACGATGCACTTTCTCAGCTTCGTTGACATTTGCCTATTTTGTTCCTATAATAGGGTGCCATTTGTTTCAAGATCAAATATATTTTGAACAATACTGCTCTAGTGGCGGGTATCCCATGATGACATGTCATGTTACAATCACTGTTGGATAGTCGGATGCCACCGACTGAGTTGTGTGCGCTGGGAAGCCCCAGAGCAGCCCCGATGGTGGGATTGGCTTCAAGTAGGCCTTGAATAGTGGATCTAACGCAGCTGACCTCGTTATCTTTCAGAATGGCGGAATGCCATGAACTCTCCAGTGCCTGATCGTAGCAGTGAACGAGCGTGTTTGCATGAAGTGCTGGTATTTACCATGAAGAAATGACGCGCCAATGTCGGCGTAACTCCAGCCTGGAGGCCGCTTTAACTCCTACGGGGTGTTCACATACTGCCGGAGCCTTCGCCAGCATGTGAGCCACCACATGCGGTAACGCTGGGTCAGAAGGGACCTTCCCCGTGTCTGGAAGCCGACAGATATAGCCGATATGAGGTGCAGTGTTATCTGGGGGCCGCCGGTGAACCCCGGACTGTTAAAGGGACCCTCCCACCTTAACATTAGATTTGAGTTGAGATAGCCAAAATGGGGTCCCTGGCTCACAATTACCGGTTTCGGCACTCACAACATCGAGAAATGCCTTAAATCGGAAATATTGAATTTCAAAATTGCAGCATTTTGATTCAGAGGGGCTAATGCTTAGGAATACCCCTCTGAATGTGTGACGTCAGCGCAAATATCTAACGATTTTTAAATGTTTGACTAAAACGTTTTGTAGCACGCGGTGGTATATGCTATTTGCGCGCAACATCTGCCGCAAACGCCGCACTTCTAAAATAAAGTCGCTAGAAACAGCGGAGATCCCAAAAAAGTAAACAAAAGTAAAAGTCTAATATCTTGAAAACCGGTGAATATTTTTCGATGAAATTTGGTAGATATTGGTTTTCGCTCCTTCTGAACCGAGCGACATCACTTTCATGCCAATTCATTGACTTTTTTGAAGGTGGGAGGGTCCCTTTAATGGACTGTGCGCAGTGGTCTATGTGTAGATTAGTAGATAAATACACCAAAGTGGATGGGAACACTGGATTGGCACCGCCCTAAGAGCCTTAGCGAATCCCGGTCTTCTACCAATGAGGGGCTGGAACTCCCAATGATTCTGCTCCTTAATAGTTCCTGATTATATGTGAAGCTCGCCCGTTCCCCAATAGAACGTAAACAGAAACAGGTGAGCGCTGATGGACACAACACTACAAGGCAAATCATCACGGTCATTTCACACACTTCAGCTACTGCTCAAATCAGCCGTTTATTACATCTGTGACTGCCTTAAAACGGGACACAACACGTCAAAATATCACACATTATTCAATCACACATCATACCGCGAGCATAGTTATTTCAGTGTAAACACGGGCAGCTCCCAAAAGGGAGGCAGTATTGGAGGCCGATGGCCCAGATCCCTCACCCCAGTTGCACTAGAATCGGACTGCTCCCGCCGGCCGTCCCGGGACCACGCTCAAAATCAGAGACCCGATCCCAGACAGAACGAAATATAGACGCAGCGCTCTTAAAAGTAACGGAAATAGTGGCTCCAGTCAAGGCCCTAAATACAGCTCCAGTAAAGTCAGCGCGGCACACTGTGCAGCGAGCGCCCCCCACCGACAGAAAAGCAGCAGAGTTGCCATTAGTAAAAGGCCGCACGGATGACATAAGGCACGACTGTTTGTTCCGCCACGTGACATGGGGCACAGGGCGCCAGGGGATGGGACAAAGTGGGGGTGGCAAACGCCGGACGCACCAATCAGGCGAGATTCACATCAAACAAACCGTCCCAACGAGAACAAGCCGCAAACCACAAACATGTTACATTTCGAAAAAAAAAACAATTATCATACGCACAATCCAAACAGTTTGCATTCTGGTGTATGATTAAAATATGGTTAAATAACACCAAATAACAATTGTTTACCTTCGATAATGTCATTCTAATCAGTCGGTTTGAATCACTCGTTTTCAATCACCATGTCCGCGTCCTTTCGACCCTCCCCTTCAGACTCCCTACTTGTGGAGCCCGTTGGATGTGGCTCCGGCGCCAGTTCTCCGTCCCCTATGTCCACCCTACAAGGCCAGAGTGCGCCGGTCGCCGTCTCCCCCCTGTCCCCCCTGTCTGCACCCTCCGTCCCCAGCTGTGCCCGTTCTACATGGCCAGGATGCGCCGGTCGCTGCGGCATGTGTCGGCCGAGCCGGTGTGTCCCAGCAGCAGCGTCTCGGTGCGGCGCGCGATGTCGGCGCAATACTTCTCGCCGACCAGCGAGGCCAGCAGCTCCGGGAAGGCCGAGGGCAGGATCGAACGCACCCACTCGGTGCCGCTCACACCCTGCCAATGGACAGAGCCAGGGGGCGGTCAGTGGCGGTACGGGCTGCGGGACGGAAAGTGGAAGACGTTTCTGATGTTACGGCGGGATGTTCTGACTTCGAAACAATTTTCTATTCATTCCCAGTGTAAGTCAGTTCTAACATACGATGGGCTCAATGACCCGCTGACGTTGAATGGAGAAGACCTTAGAATTAACTACAAAAATATAAAAATAGAGGCATCCAACAGTTGCATTATTTTTGTCCAACAATTCAACACAGCCAAACACATTCAGTAATACAAAGGATGTCGCGTCAGATGCTGACGAGTGACGACACCCCGCACGTAGCGCCCTCTGTCCGGTGACGGTCCGACGCGGGTCCCCCGTGGCCGGCCGGCGCGTCGGTCGGTACTCACGGCGCTGTTGTCGGGCGGCAGCGGCTGCACGGACGTGATGAGACCCTTTTCCACCTGCACCTCGACCTCGACGTTCGAGCAGGCCGCCAGACGGAACGTGTGCGAGAACCGCGGCGTCTTGCCGTACACCCAGCCGGGGTCGGCCAGACCGGCCTCCAGCGCGGCCAGACCTGCCAGGGGAGAGGGACGGCGCCGTCAGGGACATACCGAGAAATACCATGACGGGACGCTGACAGCGGCTGTTTGGAGAGTGACCGTGTTGAGGAAGCGAGCACCGATAGGTAGATATCTTGATCAACAGCCAATGACATGCAATCCCACGGTAACATTCAGATAACTTGACATTCCCTCAAAATGCGCCACTAACTCCACCCATCCACTTCCACCCATCCACATGCCTACATCCCCAGCCACTGCCGTCCTCTCATCCCGGCTATACCCTCCCTCTCGCACCACTCGTCCGTCCGTCTCACCTGGGAACCACTCGTCTGAGGGGTTGACCATCTGGAAGCCCCTGCTGGCCTGTTTGCCAGCCTGTTTGAGGTACATCTGGCCGATGGCCGCCACGATCTTGTCCATGCTGACGCTGGGCGCGCCGTCGGCCAGGTTACGGACGGGTGCCGGAACGGACTCCGTGGCGCCGCTCTTCAAACCGTGCTGTGAGGGAGAGAGGGGCCACAGGGGTCAGTGGTGGGGACGGCGGGCAGACGCATTTAGGCATGGGCGCTCGGAGTTCAGACAGAAATTTAGGCGGACGGGCCATGCATTCAGTACACATCCTGTAGCATATCTCTTATGTGAAACATAGCAAGGATATTTTCTAATGGCATACGATGATTCACAAGTATTTTCGCTTCCAGCATTATCTTGGTAGTATTTATATCCCTAGAATATGTTCATGACTCCCATCTGGTCCCGTTCCAACACGTGGCCAACTCTGCCAGCCCGCCGCCACACGCGAGCAGCGCGCGTCCAAACAGCGCACGTGTCGGCGCCGGCCGCCGCCGGCCGTTCGGCTGACTTTGGCCGTGTATACTGATAGGGGCGCGGGGCCGTCCAGGGGTCCTGGAACGCTCAGGGTCGCGGGGTTCGAGCTGCTGCCAACCATGGGCCTCCCGACACCACCCAGCCGCCGCGCCGGGTGTTAGTGTAACACAGCCGATACGGAGTGGGCTGCGATGGTCTGCCAACATACCGTGGCTCCGGTTCAACGGCCCCTGAGTGCGACCGTGTTTGTCTGTTACCGCAGCTCAGAACCAATGACTTTACGAAGGAAAATGCAAATGGGGTTTCAAGAAAATATTGAAATATTTATGAAATATTTAACACTCGTAACTGGTTCAATCAATCCCTCAATGGTAGAGCGCCCGTAAAACAAACAATGGTCTAAACTAAGCGTTTCTACAAACAGCCCCACAGCTTGTGGATCGTACTTGGCACGGTCGCTAGCCCCCCCCCCCCCCCCACATCGGTTCATCGGGTACCTTCGGTGGGGGTAGGGAGTGAGGGGAGCTGCACAACAGCCGGCCTCTGGGGGGGGGGGGGGCAGCGTGACCCCAGCCGCCAGCTGATCGCAGGGTGAGGGGGGGGGGACTGCACTGCACAGCAGCCGTCCCCAGTCCACCGTCGAACAAAGACGGCGACGGACCGGCTGACGACACTGACACACTTCGCAAACCTCGGTAAAAACAGCCGGCGGAGCCAGCGGCACGCACGCACCACGTGGACTGGCGGCTGAGCTGCCACAGAGGACGTGGTATACCGCAAAGAACCGTCCGCATCCGTGTGTACTGCGAATGTAGTGAATGTGGTGTTTTCCAGTTGGGGGACGCCAAAGGCTGGGTAGGTACGTAAAAACATGAGATGATGTTTTGATGCTAGACACGCTGCCGTTTTTGGACAGTGTGGCGTGAACCCAGTAACGGGTTCACCGATATATGCCATTATGCCAATCAACTGGGGGTGGCGGGTGCACAGAAGGTGCGCCACATTCAAATCAGCTGTTTGTTTTGATCGGATACCACCTGGAACCGGTCAGGTGACCGAGATGTCGGCTCCTAGGACTCGTGGCCTCCCCAGTACCGAAACAAGCCCTGCGGACTGCGCTCGGTATCATACCGTCATAGAAAGTCATCTTGAAGTGAAAAGCACAAAATCGGCTGCACGCCAGATTGGCCATTGAGGTCAGACATAGGCTCAGGAAAACCTCGCGCAAATGAGATCGTAAATGACATGAGACCAAATATACAACAATATCAGAGTTGCATTTAACCTTGCTTTGGCAGGCATAAGGCGGATGTGGGACATAAATATTTTGATTTCAGTGTTACATCGGCCAGAGTGCAGTGTGCACATCTGTCAGCCTATTCGAACTTGGAAATGTCAGGGAGCCAACAACTAATTTTGTTGCGACCTAGCCGGCTCAACAAAACCAACCGCTTTATATCCCGGGCCAAATTCTCGCTGTTTGGAAGCGCACCTGTAAGCACCGCTTGTCATTAGCTGACGAATCCTGAGATACCGACATCGTAGTTCGAAGAACGACATATGTTTCATGCCTATGACGTCGTAACTCTTTTGCTTCCCAGTAGCAGAAAGTACGACCAGAAAAACCGTACTGACACTGAGCACGCATCACGTGACCAGTTCTGCAGCCACCCGCTCTGCCTGATCACACATCACGTGACCTGTTCAACAGCCTCCCTCGCTGTCCGATCATGCAACACGTGACCAGATCCAAAACCACCAACGCTGCCGGATCACGCATCACGTGACTTCGACCGCTATGCACGGCTCAGCTGGTCGCCCGTGGGGGTAGGAGCGGGGGGGGGGGCTCGGCTGGACACTCTGCAGAGGTAGGGGTGTGTTTATATGTGTGTGTGTGTGGGGGGGGGGGGGGTGCCGAGTAGTACAGTAATCTTGGGGTGCCTCACTCACCAGGAGCCGCTCCAGGGACCGGTGCAGGCTGTCCGATCAGCTGACCGCTGTACTGAGGGAGGGTTGTGTGTGTGTGTGTGTGTGTGTGTGTGTGTGTGTGTGTGTGGGATGGGGGGGGGGGTGCCTCACTCACCAGCTGCCGCTCCAGCGACCGGTGCAGGCTGTCCGGTGAGCTGACCGCTGTACTGAAGGAGGGTTGTGTGTGTGTGTGGGATGGGTCCTAACTCACCAGGGGCCGCTCCAGCGACCGGTGCAGGCTGTCCGTGTCCACGTTCACCATTAGGGTCAGGTGGTGGTAGGCGGTGTTCCTGGTCAGCTTGGCCGCCGTGCCGGACACCTGGCGAGAAGCGGCGCCGGTCAGACGGGGGACGCTCTCTGCTGAGGTCACAGCACCGGGGTCACAGGGTCAACGGGTCAGCGTCACAGGGTCAACGGGGTACAGCACTGGGAGATATGCTGCGCATGACGTGGGGGGGGGGGAGGGGGTGAAAAGATACACAGTGAACAAGAAGACACAGTCCAGGTAGATGTATGATCTGTCACCTGCATTCTCATAATACCGTCATAATGCCGCACATAAATGACATGTCAGACTGGGCGACCGCTGCATTCGCAAAACCGACAGATATCAGTACGCGAACCCTCCGTCCCTGACTGGCTGTGACGTCACCACTTCAGCATTAATGACGTCATCAGACAAAGACCCATGCCAGCTGCATATGCGACCAGCACTTTCCCATATTCACCTCCGCAGTAGGTAAATCACGTCAGGCCCGTCCACTGATGAGGTCACAGCTTTGACAGTTGACGTCCCTGAAGTTCCGCCATTTAACGAGTTGAACAGCGCCGATGGCCAAGCCCCGCGACTGTTGATGCCAAGGAGCTGGCAGGAACCCACACAACAATGGGGTCAAGACCACCGACAAAGGATTTCGGTTGGCAACAAACGACCGAGATCGATCCGCCGAGAAACTCCGCCTCGAAGGGAGGACCTGGGCTTGGCTTGCAAAGTAAATGCTAGATAATATATGACCCATCTTTGTAGCGTAGACTAACTAGAATTGTTCGGTAGCAGACTGGTCAATTATTGAGAGGGTAAGTCAGCGTTTCTGAGAGTTCCGTGAGCTATGGTCTAAGACCATACCGTCGTGGTTGCAAGAAGTCTTTCATCATGCACGGATTAGATACCGAGTCCGAAGCACGGAACATAGCCGCGGAGTGACGTAGTTCAAGCTTCAAAGCCACTGGGAATGTTCACGTAGGCCCAACGTTTCCTGGCTTCGAGAGATGCTGCTAACGTCCGTCTCACACATCCTTAGAAGTTCAGTACACGAACTCCCTCCCACTCCCACCGTTCACGCGGTTCTGCCCAGCCCGACCACTGCCGGCTGTTTGGGTTCGCGTGGTCCGTCCGTGTGACCTTCGGACGCGCCGGGCCAGACGGGCCTCCACAGCTCCGAACCAAGCCCCCGGACGCCAGGAAACGAACCAATCACAGGTGCCATAACTCGAAGAGGCCTCTCGGTCTCGTAACCGACGCATCCACTTCGAACTCGTCCTGAACTCTGATGGTATCCCGCCGGGTCGGCGTTCCCCGAACAGCTCTATTTATGATAATAAATTCGTTACCGGACTACCGCTCGCCCCACTCAGCCCTAAGGCTGCCCAAAACTGGTTGAAACTGGACAGGACGGGCGGACCAGAAGAGGCGGGAGAAGGGAGCGCTCAGCGTTGGGTCAGCTGAGCACCGCGCCGCGCCGGTGCAGGGTTGTTTTTACACGGCGAGGTGACAGGCAGCGGAGTGCGGGCAGCCGAGCTGGCCGGCCGGTCGCACGCAGCGTACCCGCTCACCGCAGCGCCAGTCACGCGGCCGACACGTGACCGGAGGAACACCGGCGCCGCCGCCAGCGCCGGGAGAGAGCCGCGCTGCACCGCCCGCCGCACCGGCCGTGCAACGTACCACGCCGAGAGCTAACCAAAACCGGACCGGCACAGCACACGGCCGTCTGTCTCATGGAGGCCATCATCCCATCGCGCGCCCTCCCCGGCCCGCCCCCGCCGCAGCCACAGCGGCCCGTAGCAACAGTGCACGGTTGCAGGGCCACCGGGCGCCGGCGACTGCTTTGTCGTGGGCCGGATTAGGCCTTGGGCTGCGTACGGTTCACGGCAGCGGAGGGGCGGGGGGGGGGGGAGGTGGCCTCGAGCGAGCAGCCCCATCGTCCGTCCGACCGAGATACACAGCAGAGAGCACTGATAGTGACGAGCGGACGAACCGCTACATCAGTAACGGCGTCCTATGGGTAGTGACGAGCGGACGAACCGCTACATCTGTAACGACGTCCTATGGGCGGAGAGCCGCTCTAAACTGAATCTCTTGAACAAAGAGAGTTAGCTTCAAAGCCAGAAAACTACATTTCCGCCTGTCTTTCAGTGCACATTTGGATCATTTAATCATCAATGGCTTCATAAAAGTTATCCATTACAGCACCGCCACTCGTTTTGTGCTCACAAAATATCTTGAAAAACGAAAACCCGCCTCTACCTGATCCCGATTTGTTGGCCTGGCGCCGCCTCTGGAGGCTCCATAAACAGACCTCGCACGCGCCGTGCCTGGCGCCGCCCCTGCCGCCGCGCCGGTGCAGCGGACTGGCCCGGTCGGCCGGCGCACCGCCCACCGTCCGCGGCACTCCCATCCGCCCGGCACCGATTCCTCCCGACCCGAGACCAAAGCAGCGCCGGTAACCCAGCCAGAGTCCCAGGACTCGGAGATGGGCGCAGTCGTGCCGCAGCTAACAGAGACTCCAGCCGTTTCTGCAACGAGTCTGCGGGGCTGGGTACAGATCCAGCCAGCCGTTTGAGCGGCCCTGGGCCCTGCCGGCAGCGGAAGTCTCCGGACAAGGACGTCGGCGGGGGCCGGGGCGGGGTAGGGGTACGCCACGGGAGCGTTCGATCGGTTGCGGATACATACCAACCGCTATACGAGAGCTATCCGTATAGTTGATTTCTTCCGATATGAGAAGCACGTCTGGGCAGAGCCTGTGTTTAGCGGAACTAAACTCGCATACTCGTGTCTCTCAGAGAGATTCAGGCCAACGTTTAAATAAGTATAGCCTCATTGCTCAATACCAGCTATCCTTCAGTAGCTCGGTCCGGTTACCAGCCGGCTATTTTGACGCGTCCATCTGACCTTCCAAGCAGGGCCGCGTCGAGCGACAAACACAGCCCGGCGCGCTCGACCTTGTGGCTCCAAGGGCGTGTGGCACGCAGGCGGGCGGTGCACGGCTGCACGCACCACGCAGCTGCGCGCCGGGCCGCCGCCGAGCCAGCCGCGCCGAGCGGCGTCCGCGGACACTGGCATCATCCGGAAACGGCGGCAGAGGTGGACGGGCGGCGGCCTTGTAATTCCAGACGGAGAGTGCTGAACAGAACAGCGGAGAAGTTCCGCGAGCTAAAACTGATCTATTTTTGATACCTGACTAATAACCGGGTTCAAATGTGTGTCATTGCTGTTCGTAGTTATGGTATTGAGAAAAGTGATACAGGGCCAGTTTCAAGGCATAACTAGGTGGCAGTTGCCACAATAACTATACCCAATAACAATGCCCACTTCCCAGGCGCATTTTTACGGCCTCAGTCATCCATCGACGAAGACCGGTCCGAAATTGAATCCTGATCAGCCCGTAATAATGAAAACATGCATCAACCTAGAGCAGCCGAGGACCAAATCACCGGTCTAGCCATACTAAAAAGAAGGGCGATGACCAGATCCGATGGCGCCCAGACTCTGATATACTCGCCATGTCAGCAGCGTGTACTAAACTCGCTCAATATGCGCATAATGAATCGGACATGCAGAGTGTGCTCATGGATTGGAGAGGCAGGGTCTGCTCGATCCTGACCTCACAGGACGTGTGGCTGGACCCGGCTCTGTGCGTCTAACGGCACCAGGCTGACCTTACTTCAGTGACGCTGACAGGGTCTCAGGAAAAACACCGACACGATACTCGTGATAACAGAGGAAAGGCTCGTTTCGCTATACCGCCAGCCGCTGAAAACTTCGGAGATAAGAAATATTGAGCGATGAGTTCAACCAGAAAATGCCGAGTTTTAAAGGTAGTGTGCCACCTTTGAAAGATTTCCCATTTTATTTTTCCTAGGATAAGAAGCTTCTGTTTTTACCTAATATCGCAAAAAAAAAACAAAAATGGGCCTGGAATAGTGCCTTTTTCGCCTAAAAGTTTATCGGTTTTTAGATATGTATAACAACTGTAGTGGGCTCACCTGCAAACAGGCGTCGGGCAACAATCGCGAATGCGGCGCACTTGTGACAATAAGCAAAGGTCATTATAGTGTTACGACCATACGACGTACGGGAATGAGTTATCAGCTGTCTAATCGTAGACAACACAATGTCGAGCCTTAAACTGTAAGCCCGTATTGGTATTGTTTCTTTTATTTGGCTGTCGAAGATTATTTATGGTTTGAAATATGATTTTATGTAAAATAATTGATATGAAAAAGCCGTCTTATAAGTTATGACCCCATTTCACCACACGCAAGTGGCAGAAATGACAATGATCAGCTGACGCATTTTTCTTGGCCGAAGTCAGAGCGCGCAGCCCGACGCACCACCACCGCACCACAAAGTATGAGCAGAAGCCGCGCCCAAAGCCAGGGCCCCGGTAACGTGAGGTAGCCGAGTCGGGGCAGCGTGCGCTGACCCAAGCCGGGGCCGCAGCTTTGGGCGCGGTCTACCGCATCCCCGCGGGCAGCCCCGGGCTATTACATGACACCGGGAGGACGCGCGGCTCCGGCTTGGGTCAGCGCACGCTGCCCTGACTCGGCTACCTCACGTTACCGGGGCCCTGGCTTTGGGCGTGGTCTACCGCACCACCTAACAGGCGTGTTCGAAACCGCAGGAGCTGATGATGAACGGGTTTATCGAAACTTGATTGGATGAGCATATCGGTAATAGCGATTTCAGTGTGTGCATTTATTGTTCATAGTGGTGTGAAATGTGGTTGGGGTACGCCGACAACCCGTCGGGGCGAATTTCGCACTGGGGTACTCAAAATTTGAAGAATTTAAGACGTTTCCATGAGTTTTGAAGGTATGGATAAGTTCTAAAAATCCGGTTCTCCTTATCTGGGCCATTAACTCCATACGGTCCAAGAAAGCTGGCACACTACCTTTAATATGATTATTAACGCTGACTTATCTTCTTTTTGACGGAAGTAATTTGCCAGCAAAAACATTATAATATAAAGGTATCCATTCTGATTCTGAGCATCAGAGACGTAGAAAACATCGTACTTGGCATAGCAAAGCAAACGTCACGACATTAAATACCAGGTGCTGTACAGGCTCCAGTCAGTCTCTTTCCCGCTAATACCGCTAGCCGTTGCTGTGATAAGCCCCACCCCGGGCCGGCGGCCGGCGGCGCACTGACCTTGAAGGCGCCGTCGAGCAGGATGTCGTCGCGCTCGTTGACGGTGATGTCGAAGCCCCAGCCCTGGCGGAGCGCGTCGGCCACCAGGTGCAGGTTGGCCGAGCGGTCGTACTGCTCGCGCGCGCTGAAGAAGGTCAGGTTGAGGTTGCCCAGGTCGTGGTAGACGGTGCCGCCGCCGCTGTTCCGGCGCGCCAGCGGCATGCCGGCCGCGTGCAGGTGGTGCGTGTCCACCTCGCGCCACGGGTTCTGGTGGCGGCCGATGACCACGCAGGGCGCGTTGCGCCACACCATCAACAGGTTGTGCCGGCCGAATCGGAAGTTGCGGTACAGCCAGTCCTCCAGCGCCAGGTTGGTGAACACGTTGTGCGACTGCGAGAGGAACACGGAGAGCGCCTCCGGCTGCGGCGCCGCCGGCCGAGCCGAGAGCGCGCGCCGGCCGGCGGCCAGCAGCGGCAGCCGGACGGACGGACGGGCCAACAGGAGTGAAGACATGACGCCGACGGTCCGGATAGTTCAGACGGAGCAGAGGAGCGATACAGAGCGGGTCGCGGGACGGACCGGACGGGTGGCAGGAGATAACCTACGTTTGCCAAAACGCAAACAAAAATTAAAACGGCTATTAGGTGTTGCGAGTTCAGTGATGCAATCCGTCAAAGGACATATAGACCAGGTACGAGTGCAGAGCCACTGTCAGGTGGAGCCACTTGAACGTCTGGTGCAGGCCGTACAGCTCCCGGTGGATGCCTGAAACCGGGCGCGCGGCGCCGTCAGACAGCCGACTGGCAGCCATATGACCAGCAAAGAAATCAGCCTACACGCGCCTTTACTCCCAGGCGTAATCCTGGCACGCTGTACACCCTACGGGATACATTACAAGCGAGCTGCTGGCTGTTCAGAGATTATCACTGCATAATCAAACTAGGCTACCTTAATTACAGAACATATCATATAAACAAAAAAATTACCATCACCTTTAGTGGTTTACAATTCAGCAATATTGACATATGAGAGCTTAGAATGTGTTGTCATCGCATTCTGATGCTAGAATATTGTAATGATTTTTTCTACTTACGCAGGGAATCACAGAACCACGGGTATTGCTGATAAGACTTGCTCCACATCTGCAGGTAAGCCTGTACTTGAGGAACTAACAAACAAGCTGAAACGGCACACCAAATCTGGTCAGCTCTCTGTATAACACACTTTTACTAGATAGATATAAAGGCAGATGGCGAAAATCATATTAAGCAAGACATCAGTACTAAACATGGCATGCTAAACTGCACCCCACTGGGGGGCAGAATCTGCCCCTCCCATTTTGTGCCAATAGCTTCTTTACTTGTTATGCTATCTACATCAAACTTTAAGTACATCACAAAACATAATTTTGACAATGACATGACAGACATGTTCCCTGAAAATATGAACAAAACTATCACACATTTGTGAAGAATACGTTTTGGTAATGTCATGTCACCACGTGGTCACATGTCATGGTCACGCCATATTCACTTAAAAACTGCAAAACTTCAATCGCTTCTAACTTCTTCAGTTATTTTAGGTAATCAAGATGTATAACCGCAAAGTATGTCATTTACTTTACTGTCAGTATACATGATTCTAAAGAGGGGTGCGGAGCCGGAGCCGCCGGAGGCGGCATATTTTGCCCGGAGCCGGAGCCGTGAAACAATATAGCCCGGAGCCGGAGCCGTCATGGAAGGGGGCGACTCCGGCTCCTTTTTGTGAAGAGGAAAAATCATTGACCTAGTTGGGTTTGACAGTTCAAGGCAGTAAAACATGCGGTATTCAAAATATATGAAAATATCCTTGTTATGCAAATACAGAAGCAACGTGCACCAATCCCATCACCTTTTTTCTTCCACCCGTATTCAATTGCATAGGGGATGTACGGGCATTGGAGCCGGAGCCGGAGCTGTCTGAAATTTCCACGGCTCCGCATTCCTGATCTAAAGCTACTTTCTTTCAAATGCTATCTCAGTTTTTACAAAGTTAGCTCGAATGTTGGAAAGTTAGCTCGAATGGATGGATTGACAGAACCACAGCCTACGCTAAGCTGAGTTTGTGTAGATCCTGTACGATCGCGCATTCCGGGTAACCGCGCAATGCCGGGTGACCGGAGGAATTTCGATGCCAAAGTTAAAGGTGCCCTTTAAGATCGGGATCTTACTACTGGCAGTCCAACACTACCAACTCAACTACGGGACAGGCAATTTTTTCATAATTTGCCTTTAGAATTTAGATAGCAAGTTTCATTTTTTTCGAAAAGCTTGCAAAAAGAGAAAATAATTACACAAAATCCAAAATTTTAGGTCTATAAAAACTGGAATATTAATTGGAGAAATACAGCCTGTGGAGCAGCATTCCAATTTTTAAAACAACTGTTAACCTTACCTAGGTTCAAATAAAGCTTATGCAGCTCTAGGCTAAAACACGGAGATAGTTAAAAACTGATTCCCATCAAATACTTACAACGGCTCCCAGCTTCAGCCCCAGATATAAGTATCTTCTATTTCGGACTTCAATGACGATACCACCCGATCCTCATCCCATGAAAGTTGCAAGCGAAATGAAGTGGAAGACGCGTCGCAAATGAATCGAAGCTCCACTTTAACCTTGTCAAAGTTTCATCTTTCAAGGTATACATGACGTCACAAATAACCTTACCTTACCTTACCTTAGGAGTACACGGAATTTAGAGGCCTGTGTAGACCTGTTGGTCCGGATCTTTACTCTACTGATTCCCATCAATAATAACAGTGAACATAACAGTGAACTTTAAAACAATCTTTTGAAGAATGCCTTTATTCTAACCTACTGTACTGTTTATTCTAACCTACGAACAACTTTTTTATTAAGTCAAAGTCAAAGCCGGATGTTTTTGTCTCTGCATCTCAAGAACAGAAAAAAAACTTTCACGTAACGTTTCTTAGCTGTTTCAGTGACGTAATATTTTATAGGCTGAAAAGTAAGCTTTTTCAGGATGGTCTTTTATATGCAATGCTTGAAATACCTTTTATTACTTGACGTATAGGTATTTGACGTTTCTTAGATAATTATTTTTCGCATTTCGTTATTTGTATTATTGTGTAAAAAGATAGGACATTTTTTGGGAGGAATTACATAACTAAACGTCGCAGTCGAGTGGTGTAAACGGTAATGTACACGTGGTGGTATACAGTGAACTTTAAAGGGACCATCCCACCTTAACATTAGTTTTGAGTTGAGATAGCCAAAATGGGGTCCCTGGCTCACAATTACCGGTTTCGGCACTCACAACATCGAGAAATGCCTTAAATCGGAAATATTGAATTTCAAAATTGCAGCATTTTGATACGTCCATCAATTGAGCAGCAGATTGATATTCGCGAATATCAAACAAAAAATTCGATATTCGGACGGGGAACGCAATAACTCAAGAACCAGTGAACCGATTTTGATGAAAAGACCCTCATTCGATTCCTTGTTCCTCATTGCAGGTTGACAGCGATTTCCAGGTCACTAGGTCATGACCTTCAAGGTCAAGGTCAAGGTCAAAGGACGGGGAACGCTCTACAGCCTAAAGTTACCGTCCGATTGGCTTGTAAATGGTCTCATTCGATTCCTCGACCCCGATTCCAGGTTGACAGCGATTTCCAGGTCACTAGGTCATGACCTTCAAGGTCAAGGTCAAGGTCAAAGGACGGGGAACGCTCTACAGCCTAAAGTTACCGTCCGATTGGCTTGTAAATGGTCTCAATCGATTCCTCGACCCCGATTCCAGCTTCACAGCAATTTCCAGGTCACTAGGTCATGACCTTCAAGGTCAAGGTCAAGGTCAAAGGACGGGGAACGCTCTACAGCCTAAAGTTACCGTCCGATTGGCTTGTTAATGGTCTCAATCGATTCCACGACCCCGATTCCAGGTTGACAGCGATTTCCAGGTCACTAGGTCATGACCTTCAAGGTCAAGGTCAAGGTCAAAGGACGGGGAACGCTCTACAGCCTAAAGTTACCGTCCGATTGGCTTGTAAATGGTCTCAATCGATTCCTCGACCCCGATTCCAGCTTGACAGTGATTTCCAGGTCACTAGGTCATGACCTTCAAGGTCAAGGTCAAGGTCAAAGGACGGGGAACGCTCTACAGCCTAAAGTTACCGTCCGATTGGCTTGTAAATGATCTCAATCGATTCCTCGACCCCGATTCCGGGTTGACAGCGATTTTCAGGTCACTAGGTCATGACCTTCAAGGTCAAGGTCAAGGTCAAAGGACGGGGAACGCTCTACAGCCTAAAGTTACCGTCCGATTGGCTTGTAGATGGTCTCAATCGATTCCTCGACCCCGATTACCGATTGACAGCGATTTCCAGGTCACTAGGTCATGACCTTCAAGGTCAAGGTCAAGGTTCGCGAATATCAAACTTAAAGTTCGATATTCGGACGGGGAACGCAATAACTCAAGAACCAGTGAACCGATTTTGATGAAAAGACCCTCATTCGATTCCTTGTTCCTCATTGCAGGTTGACAGCGATTTCCAGGTCACTAGGTCATGACCTTAAAGGTCAAGGTCAAGGTCAAAGGACGGGGAACGCTCTACAGCCTAAAGTTACCGTCCGATTGGCTTGTAAATGGTCTCATTCGGTTCCTCGACCCCGATTCCAGGTTGACAGCGATTTCCAGGTCACTAGGTCATGACCTTCAAGGTCAAGGTCAAGGTCAAAGGACGGGGAACGCTCTACAGCCTAAAGTTACCGTCCGATTGGCTTGTAAATGGTCTCAATCGATTCCTCGACCCCGATTCCAGGTTGACAGCGATTTCCAGGTCACTAGGTCATGACCTTCAAGGTCAAGGTCAAGGTCAAAGGACGGGGAACGCTCTACAGCCTAAAGTTACCGTCCGATTGGCTTGTAAATGGTCTCAATCGATTCCTCGACCCCGATTCCAGCTTGACAGCAATTTCCAGGTCACTAGGTCATGACCTTCAAGGTCAAGGTCAAGGTCAAAGGACGGGGAACGCTCTACAGCCTAAAAATACCGTCCGATTGGCTTGTTAATGGTCTCAATCGATTCCACGACCCCGATTCCAAGTTGACAGCGATTTCCAGGTCACTAGGTCATGACCTTCAAGGTCAAGGTCAAGGTCAAAGGACGGGGAACGCTCTACAGCCTTAAGTTACCGTCCGATTGGCTTGTAAATGGTCTCAATCGATTCCTCGACCCCGATTCCAGCATGACAGCGATTTCCAGGTCACTAGGTCATGACCTTCAAGGTCAAGGTCAAGGTCAAAGGACGGGGAACGCTCTACAGCCTAAAGTTACCGTCCGATTGGCTTGTAAATGGTCTCAATCGTTTCCTCGACCCCGATTCCAGGTTGAAAGCGATTTCCAGGTCACTAGGTCATGACCTTCAAATCGTGACCTGGAAATCTAGTGACCTGGAAATCGCTGTCAACTTGGAATCGGGGTCGAGGAATCGATTAAGACCATTTACAAGCCAATCGGACGGTAACTTAAGGCTGTAGAGCGTTCCCCGTCCTTTGACCTTGACCTTGACCTTGAAGGTCATGACCTAGTGACCTGGAAATCGCTGTCGACCTGGAATCGGGGTCGTGGAATCGATTGAGACCATTAACAAGCCAATCGGACGGTAACTTTAGGCTGTAGAGCGTTCCCCGTCCTTTGACCTTGACCTTGACCTTGAAGGTCATGACCTAGTGACCTGGAAATCGCTGTCAAGCTGGAATCGGGGTCGAGGAATCGATTGAGACCATTTACAAGCCAATCGGACGGTAACTTTAGGCTGTAGAGCGTTCCCCGTCCTTTGACCTTGACCTTGACCTTGAAGGTCATGACCTAGTGACCTGGAAATCGCTGTCAAGCTGGAATCGGAGTCGAGGAATCGATTGAGACCATTTACAAGCCAATCGGACTGTAACTTTAGGCTGTAGAGCGTTCCCCGTCCTTTGACCTTGACCTTGACCTTGAAGATCATGACCTAGTGACCTGGAAATCGCTGTCAACCTGGAATCGGGGTCGAGGAATCGATTGAGACCATTTACAAGCCAATCGGACGGTAACTTTAGGCTGTAGAGCGTTCCCCGTCCTTTGACCTTGACCTTGACCTTGAAGGTCATGACCTAGTGACCTGGAAATCGCTGTCAACCTGCAATGAGGAACAAGGAATCGAATGAGGGTCTTTTCATCAAAATCGGTTCACTGGTTCTTGAGTTATTGCGTTCCCCGTCCGAATATCGAATTTTTAGTTTGATATTCGCGAATATCAATCTGCTGCTCAATTGATGGACGTCATTTTGATTCAGAGGGGCTAATGCATAGGAATACCCCTCTGAATGTGTGACGTCAGCGCAGATATCTAACGATTTTTAAATGTTTGACTAAAACGTTTGGTAGCACGTGGTGGTATATGCTGCTTTGCGCGCAACAAATGCCGCACTTTCAAATAAAGTCGCTAGGAACAGCGGAGATTCCAAAAAGTAAACAAAAGTAAAAGTCTAATTTCTTGAAAACCGGTGAATATTTTTCGATAAAATTTGGTAGACAATCGTTTTCACTCTTTCTGAACCGAGCGACATCATTTTCATGCCAATTCATTAACTTTTTTGAAGGTGGGAGGGTCCCTTTAATACGATCTTGTGGTTTATGATGACACCAACACAAAGGATTACTGTACATACGCCCCCTAAAAAGTTTCTCCAATAAAAAAATCAGATTTTGATTTCTTACAGTCCCCTGTGCAAAGGGTTTTCCAGGGGCGCGGGAACTACTTTCCAACTGGGGGGCACACCATAATAGAGATTAACCTAGGGTACCCCCAGGCCCCAAATCTAGTTTTCTCACCGGTTTTAGGCCACTTATTTTCACCCCTCGGCTTTTTCAACAAAAAAGAAAACATTTGCAAAAAAAGTGTGGTATTCCGTCTCAAAGCTGTGGGGGCACCGCCCCCATGGCCCCAGAGTTTGGGGGGGGGCAAGCTGCCCCCACTGCCCCCCGGCTCCCGCGCCTATGGGGTTTTCCCAATAAAACTTATGTTTTAATTAGGCACTTTTCAAGTCTAGCCATGAGATACCTTGTAGGTATCTACCTACATGCTAATCTTGTGTGGAATTGGTGGGCATGGTTACTTACATAAGAACTGTTATGAGCATGAACTTGCTATGATTTACTCACTTTACCTTCTGGTCATCCAGTGTTAAACAATTTTTAAAAATATATTTTTAGCTTACCTGCCCATTTCAGTCAAAGGTGGAAAACTATTTGTCTTTCCCGCTAGGTATTTAGTTGCAGAGTGATCTTGTAAAATTTTAATTATGTCGCTGCTTGCCAAATACCATTAATATGTTGGATGGCATTTCAATTTAGGGGAGTGTGAACCACAGGTTTCCAGTTTACATTCATCCCTCCACAACCATCTGCCACTTCTGATGTGGCAGCAGTTGTGAGCCATACATGTTCTTCTTTGAGACCTTTCTCTTGCAGGACTCAAAGTAAAGAAGCTCAGTACCTACCAGTTGCTGACAAATTGTCTTTTTTTTCAAAAGATCAAAATGTTGGGCATTGCTATAGACTCAACTCTATCATGGGAAGCCCATATAACCAGCGTCGTTCAGAAATGCAACAAAATACTTGTGTCGCTGTATAAATTCCGCCATTATTTTACCAGTGACGCACTCAAAATCATCATCGAAGCATACGTTTTCCCACATATATCGTATTGTTTATGCGTGTGGGGTGGAGCCGCAAAAAGTCAGTTAAGCAGAATCCAGAAACTTATTAACTTTTCGGCAAGGATTGTAACAGGTGTTAAAAAGTACGAGCACATCACTCCGAGCCTAAATTCACTGAATTGGTCCAGGATTGAACCCCTGGTGGCGAGCCGCGACGTCAATAAAGTGTACAAGTCACTGATGACAGATGGTGCTCCCCCTGAGATTCGCGCGCTCTTCACGTTCCGCGCCGCAGTGTCTGACCGGGAGACGCGGGCCACGGATAGTGGCTGTCTCCATCTCCGCCGATATCGTCTCGCGTCCAGTCAGACGTCCTTTTCGTACCGAGCCGCTATCGCGTGGAACCGTCTCGCTGGGAATATTCGCGGCGCAGCCACTCTGAGCGATTTTAGGGCAGCGATACGGGAGCTACTGTGACACTCAGGGTCTCTGTATCATTGACATGTCTTACCATTTGTAATGTGCTTTTACTCGTTTTAGGTATTTTCTCGCAGTTTTACTGTTTAATTTTAAATTCACCATGCTGTTTTATAAGCTATTGTCCATGACGAGAAACCTGAAAAACCACCTTGTGGATGGCTTCAATAAATATGACTATGACTATGACTATGACTTTTTTTGTTTCAGTGCTTGGGCAGTAACTATGCCTGCAGAACGGAATGTACTGGCAATTCTCTTCAGAAACTTTCTCAAGTCCATCACTCCGAACCGCCCATCCGGAAATCTGGTGGGCTCTGACCATTTTGGCAACAAGTACTACGAGGCGCCGGCGGACCCGTCGCGCGGGAAGCGCCACCCGCGGCGGTGGATCGACCCGGCCGGCCAGCAGTTCGACCAGGAGATGCCGGCAGAATGGGAGGCCTGGCTGCGCCGGCGGCGCGCCCAGCCGCCCACCGACGACGAGGTCGCCCGCAACAGGGCCATCATGGAGCTGAAAAAGATCAACGCCGCCAAACTGGCCGAACAGCGCGGGGAAGTGAGCGAACCAGCGAAACCCGAGCGGCCGTCGGCGTTCCCCGTCTGGGAGGAATACGAGGTCGAGCCGGGCCAGAAGAACTCCAAGTATAAAATAAAATAGGATTGTCAGTTCTGATTGTTTGTTATGCGGTGCTATCTATTGTACTTGCCGGGTGGTTGCTACGAAGTGTCTGTGATCTGTACTGAATGATAAAATGATATAGCTCCTCGTCTTTATCTACTCTTTTGACGATATTGATAAGTGACGGTGAAGATCGCGTCTTTATCTACTCTTTTGACGATATTGATAAGTGACGGTGAAGATCGCAACTAGTTAATTGTCGATCCGTAACGAGTCGTCCTCACCATAAGATGCAAGGTAGTGGAAGCCAGGTGCCGCAAAGGGACGCCGTGACATTGGCATTCGACGGAACATTGCCACGGCAAGCGTTGCCCAAGAAAACAGTGTAATAGATTCACTGCGGTAAACAAGAACGTTGAACGCGAAGCACTCTGCCTAGATACTGTACATGGACCCGCGGCGGCCTAGTGCCTGTCTTGCTGTGCTTCTCGAACCCAGCCTTGGCTGTTGCATTTTTCCGTGCTCGTTGCTGTGGTCGTCCGTCGTACTTTAAAACTTCACCACTGGTGAACGGTGAAAGTCGTGTCCAGTAATCCCTTTAGCGGCCTCGCCAGTTTTCAGCTCTGCAGCAATCTTCTCTCTTGTGAAGTACCGATTTGTCCGTGGAGGGTGGAGACCACCGACAGCTGCGACAGTCAGCTGCATGGACGGCCACTGACCAAAACTGAACTCCCGTTCGTGGAAACCGTCGTCAGTGCAGGACCGGGAGGAAGAACTGAAGTCTGGCAACCCTGACAAACGGACTGATCTGGCAGGTGTTTATTGTGATGATGATGCGATCATTTATAGCGCAACTGATGCGATATGGACGAGCGAGGATGACCATGGGAATGCGTAACGCCCACGACACAACTGCAATATGATGATGACATGTAGGACCTGTCGGCGACACGTCCATCGCAAGCCTCCGATACTTATATCTACCGTAATATTCTCTAGCCGACGCGGCGTATAGTAACGAGTGCGCCGGGCCCCGCGAGTGACTGCTGACTCACAAAGCCACATCTCCCGACTTGTTCCACACACGGGTCGGGAGCGACGGCGGAGGCCGGAACGCATCCGCAGTCCCGTCTTCACGGACGCGCGACGCATCAGTCCGGAAACCGGCACAGGAAACCACCAAAACGCGAGCAAACACTGCGACAAGCAGGTGCGCTTCAACAAAACCAACAAAACATACGTCCGCCTTGAACCATTCAGGTGTAAGAGATCACATAAATACAAAAGCATTAATTTGCGGCAGCGGCGATGGCGCGCCAGTCACTTCTGTACACTGTACACTGGGCGCCGACTGATTGGACGGCGCTGTGCGCGCGGTTCATACGGTCTATCGGGGACCCTGGTCGGGTCGGGCAGTCCACTCCGCGGCGCCTTACTGCGACACTTCTGGCGCGGCGTCGGACGCCTCGGCCTCAGCCGGCGCCGCGCCACTCTGCTGGCCATCGTTCTGCATCACGATCTCGATCTGTTTACCCTCGAGCGTGTCCCCGGAGGCGGAGACCAGCTGCTGGACGGCCTCGAGCAGCGTCTGCATGGCCTCCTCCGACTGCAGGATGTCGCCGCCGCCGCCGCTCGTCTGCAGGATGATGGTCCGCGAGCCGCTGGCCGTGCTGGTCGTCACCTCAATGTTCTTGGTGTCGTCGCCCGTCGGCTCTGCGGACACCACGGTCACCGGCGGCTGGCGGGGCGACTCCGGCGCCGGGGCAGGCGCGGGGGTAGGCGCCGGGGCCGCCGGTCGTACCACGCGGATCGCCGGCGACACCGTCTTCGGGTGCTGGCCGGCAGCGGCGGCGGCCAGCGTGCGCCGGCCGGCGACCGGCAGTATCCGAGTGGCCGGCCGGACCACCCGGGTGGTGACTGGGCGCGGCGCGACGGCGGCGCGCACCGGCGTGCCGTCGCCGGACGGCCGATTTACGACCACCTGGCGCACTATCGGCTGCCGGCCGCCGGCGCCGCGGACGGTTGGCACGCGCGCCGACACCAGCTTCTGTCCGGCGCCCAGTTTGACGGCCTGCAGCACCTGTTTGCCGGCGACCATGCGCGGTCGGGTGAGCAGCACCGTCTTGGGTCCGCCGGCGCCGCTCACAGGCGTCACCGGCTTACCGATGGTGACCACGCGCGGCTGCGACTGGGTCAGCGCGCGCGTGGAGATGAGCGGGTCGGCGAAGCGGCGCCCGGTCCCGCCGGCGCCCGAGAGCACCACCACCGGCCCGTCGGCCGGCGTGTGCGGCGTCGGCCGTTCCTCGAGCGCCGCCGCCAGCGAGGTGTTCTCGTTGGTGAGCGCCAGGTCGGTCATACCCAGGATGGCCGCCGCGTCCTCCTCCAGTGGCGGGAAGTTGATCTGCTCGGGCGGGTCGTCCTTGTCTGTGCCGGGCCGCTCGGGCCGCGAGTCGCCGGCCGGCCCGGCGGCGCCGATCACCACGTCCTGGCCCTCCACCACGTCCGGCACGGCCGAGTCGGGCAGCAGGGTGGCCGTGGCCGCGCCGGCCGCCTCTCCAGCCGCGCCCGCCGACACCAGGTGCATCGAGTCGTGCGGGATCTCCTCGGTCTCGATGTTCTCGAGTCCGCCGGCGAGCTGCAACTCCTCGCCCATGCCGTGCTCCAGGCCGCCGGCGCCGCGCGAGTCGTCCTCGTCGTCGTCCAGAAAGGCCTGCAGCGGCGTGGGCCCGTAGCGGCCGCGCGGCGGCGCCACCGGCTCCGGCTCCGGCTCCACGTCCTCCGGGAACGCCGGCAGCGGCTCGCCCGTCGGGTGGATGAACTTCAGGTGGTTCACGTAGTACTCGAACTTGCCGAACCGGAAGTCACACACCTTGCAGGCAAAGAGCGCAGGCTGCTTGTGTCTCTCCATGTGCATCTTGAACGCCTTGCGGTCGCTGAACTCCATGCCGTCCTTGGAGCATTTGAACGGTTTCTCCTGCTGGTGGACGATCTTGACGTGTCGGAACACGTCGGAGCGCCGCGTGAACACCGCCGAGCAGATCTCGCACTTGAACGGGCGCATGCCCGTGTGGGTCAGCATGTGCTGCCTCAGGTTTGTCACCTTGAACTGGCGGTGGCAGATCTTGCAGGGCCGGCGCGGCACCGTCTCCACGGGCAGCGGCACCTCCATGGTGTCCAGCTCCATGGTAATGAGGTCGTCCTCGTCCAGCTGGCCGGAGACCATCACCTCGCCCTGCTCTTCGACCAGCTCCTCGTGGAACAGCTGGGTGTCCACCAGGCCGGCGTGGTCAGACGGCGCCGCCGGGCCGGCCGCCTCGCCCGACCGCGACTGCAGCCGCTGCCGCTTCCTGGGCGGCGAGGCCGGCGGCGGCGCGCAGTGGATGCCGTGGTCCAGCTCGATGGCGTCCGTCAGCGTCTCCAGCGGCTCCATCACCAGTGGCTCCTTGTCCTCGGGCGACGGCGCCCGCTCGGCGGCGACGGCGGCGGCGGCGGCGCGGGCCTCCTCGGCCGCCTGCCGCTCCAGTTTCTCGGCGATGGTGGGCGGCGAGCGCACCGGAGAGCGGTCCTGCTTCAGCGGCGAGCCGCGCACTGGAGACCTAACCGGCTCGACTTTGACGGACAGCCGGTCGGCGGCGGCGGCGCGTCCGGCCGGCGCATCCTTGTCGGGCGAGCCGGGCGTCTTGTCACCGCGAGCCGAGCTGCTGCTGGCCGTCCGGCGCCGCACCAGCGGCTGCAACGGCGCGTCCCGGAACCGAGCCGGCAGCTGGCGCTTCCGGCTGGCGCGGCCAAAGTCGCCGGAGGCCAGCACGTCCATCAGCATGTCGTCGCCGCTCTCGTCGGCCTCTGTGCTGGACTCTGCCGAGCTGCCGGCGGCCGGCCGGCGCGACGGTGATACGCCGCTGCCCCGCCGAGCGTCACCATCGTCCCGGCCGGCGTCCTCGTGCTCGTCCTCCTCGGATGGCTCGTCGCCGTCCTCGTCCGTCGGGTGGGCGGCCGGCTGGGCTCGGCCGCGGCCGCGACCCCGCCCGCGCGGCCTGCCCGGCGGTCGGCCGCGGCTCCGGCCGGACGGCGAGCGCGACGGACCGGCGGTGACGGCCCGCTCCGGGGCGCCGCGGCCCACCCGCAGCACCGGGCTGCCGCGCGGCGGACTTCCGACCGTGGTGCGCACACTGCGGGCCACGTACCGCACCGGAGGAGCACCACGGCCGCGCGCCGGACCCGCCGAACGCATTGTGTTCTTCCTGTCATCTGTCCTAGTCCTCATGGTGACTGGTAGACACTAGCTGCTATATTGACAGTATCCTGTGAATCACAAATGCAGTGTTACTGAAGTATAATCAACTAGATGCTTACACAACACACATACAGCAGTGAAGTCCGATGCACTAGTTCAGGGTTTGATACAGTTTTATTGAGACATTTAAAAAGAGTCTACTAGCAGGCACAAAGGCAATCAGACTAGACTCAATATTTTGAGCAATACAAAGAAACATTGTTACACAGGGAGGTATGTTTTTGCATTGATCTACCTATACTTGAGCTTTGCCCATAGTATACTATAGGCACTTTAAGCAGTTCACAGTTGCAAAAATCTGAAATGAATAATTAACAGCTTTTCTAATCAAATTTTTAAATATAAGGTACCTACTGTATCCTCCAAAATATCATATGCCAATTTCCAATTTTCATCAATTGATAAATACCTTCCAAATTATGCCATAACTACCATTTAATTAATTAGGTAGATTTGAAGTAATAAAAAGCATTGTCACAAAAATATAAAATCTAGGCATTGTTCTGATTCATCGCTTCTGGTATAGTGACAACTAGCAAGCAATATACAGTATGCAGAAAAACCAAGACAAGGCGTGCATTCAGACAGCCTCTTTCATTTTTCTCCATTGGTGAATGGGGACTATTCCTCATAACGTTCAAGCAGGCTTTTCCTTGTTTACTTTTCATTTTTACTTCACTACTTATTCATAAAAAATACTCAAATTATTTCTCTTGTATTTTCACTAAAATCACAGCAAAAATAAACATGTAAAACCACTCAACCAGCTGTTCACAGCATATTTTAGAGCATAATAGAAGATTCAGATGAGAAAAATGTGTATAATCCATCATGAACCTAACAACATAGATGAACAGTTTCCATGGCAGCTGCCAACTAGTAAAAATGAGTGGCATGTTCTAGGCTCTCCAAACCATTTAAGAAAATTCCTAGTGTTTGACACTGCCCAAACGGACATTTTCACGAGGGATTCTTTAAAGATGAAATTCCATGCAAAACAAAGCCTGTCCGAACACATAAAATTACATGAATACATTGTTATTCATGAGGTCTTGCTATTAAGCTTAAGGTAAAATGTATCATCAAGAGAAAAAAATCAGTGTCCTGACAATGACAATTTTCACTGGAATGAAGTAAGAAACTGAAAATCATACCAATCAAATGACTATTATCTCAAGGCTAGCATTATCCTTCCCTTCCCTCACTACCTACACAAACTAAGGCATTTTCATGAGACAATAACTTCAAACTGGAAAACGAAATAATTCTTACAGTCTGCAATAAAATGGCCCCCATCTCCCAAATCAATGATGCTGATCACAACCAACAATAATGTGTGTTTAGATAAATTCAAATTAGAGCCAATAAGTGAAGCATTTGATAAAAACATTCGCGTCGTTATTGTATACAAACCGTTACCAATCAAGAGTGCTCAATTTATACAAAACATGGCGCTACCCAGATCTCCAAACAAAGAAAAATGCTAATATGAAGCGAATTGGACAGAGTAAGTAATTTCGAAAGGTGGGATGAAACACAATTTAATTTATGACATGATTCAAAAGAATAATAAGGGCCAAAAAAGAAAAATATTAATACTTTTTAGCGGAGCGCACCCAAACTGCGGCAAATGGCGTCCAAACTCCAGTAACAAGATCGTTTTGATTTGTCATAATGAAGAAATTGATAGACCGTTTATCTAAATATTTTTTGATGAATTTTATTTTCAAGGATATCTTATGAAATTATTCAACATCACTGTTTCAACAAAAACTCATGGAAAACTATTTGCTTTTTGACTAGGAATTGACAGTCAAATTATCGTACTCGTGTTGAAATCGGTAATGGTGCCAAACTATACAAGTGTTCTTTTATGCTCACACCATTTCTAAGTTTTTTGAGCTCCATAATATATTCTGCTTTTTTGTGTCTATTTTTATAGGATCCATCGAGCCGCTGGGTGTAACTTAAAATGGTTGCGTTTACATTAGCATTTTGACGAGGCTCAGCAAGACACAATTTTGAGATAAGGATTCTTAAATGGGATCAATAAGACAAAGGGATTGTGCCTTATAGGTATCTTGGGATCTTGGTGTCCCTTTCAACTTTTTTATGCGGTTCCATAATGGCAGCGCAAATTTCAGCAGAATTATGACTTCCTGTACCTATTTCGCAGCATTTTTCATTAGCTTCGTTTTAAAGCACTGAAAGCTTATTGCTGAAAAGCAATTCAGAATATTTGATTTATTGATAAAATGGGCATCATAAATCATCATTGATTATTTCGACATCTTTTGCTGTCCATCAGCGCAAAACTGATGTAACCTTTCTTTGGAAAGGAATATGGTAGCACAGGATTTAGTAAGCCTCGTCACTTGGTCAATCTCGCTAAGTCATTCTTTCCAACCTTGAATTTGATGCGATTGCGTTGTTTGTGTCTAATCCATGGTTTGTGTGTGTTTCCGTTTCCCGTCAATGTGTTTCCCCTATAGGTCCCCCAAGCTGCTGCGCGCCCTAACTCTTCAACAACAACAACCTATAGGTCCCCAGCTTGACTTAGCTCGGTGGGGTATTTGCAAGGGTATTTCCAGGCAGGAAATACCCTTTCAAATTCAATTCACTCACAATTCTTCTTTCTCGTTGTCAGATTTGAGTGGGTTTAGTTGTCGATAGATGTGGTGTGAGAGTGTGGCGTAACTCAACTTCACTGAATTGATTAAATGTAATCAGAAGTTAGATGACTCACTCTCGCTAGAGCTTGAGCTACCTCATCCATTCTTCAAGGAGGGAGGCAGTGGAAACTAGAAGAGTATTGGCAATGCATTATTTTGATTTGTTAGACTTTGCCTAGCCACAACAACAAAGCTTACACTATGGAGGAAGTGGCTTGGTGTACCAGCTTATTATGTCTGTTTTTGTGTTTGGGAGTGTCAGCAGTTTGTGCTGAATCTGCAAGTGCAGCTGATGGATACATGACCGGTAAGACATTTCATATTTCATATAACAAAGTGCCTGACAAGATAAACCAAAAATGTATCTTCGTATGAAAATAGTTTGCTGATTGTGAAAGTATTTCATTTTGTCTGTTCCATGTGCCCTGTCTGATGACCTGGAAATGATTTGTATTTGATCTCAGTGGACCTGGAGGAGAGCAGGGCCATGTGCCGGGGCAGCTCATTGACCAGCAACCGAGTGTGGATCCAGCCTGAGAGGCCAGTCCTACTGCGGCTGGGGCATCTACCCAACCATGACCCAGCGCGGGTGAGTTTACCTCTGAGATGCCTTGATGGAACCCAGTGTCTTTACATATTGACTGTACTCTGATCATATTTCCTTTAAACTGCAATGGAGAGATTTTTGTTATTGGCACTAGTTCTCTCACTGACAAACACCAGGGAACTGATTCCTGCATTACGCTCAATGTTCTGATAGATGGCATGCATGCCATGATGCAGCTTGCTGTTGTCTGTTGACTCTTAGTTCCTTGAAAGCTGCTGTCTACCTGATATTATGTTGATTGTCGGTGTGCTCACTTGTGGTGTGGCTGATCAGTCCAGGCCATTGTCCCTCACATGTTGTCTGGTAAAAATGAGAATGAGCAATCTGAGTTAGCAAGGAATCAGTTGAAAGAAACACTGTTTGTGGCCACTGTGTTGTGAAAGCTGAATATTAATCGATCATTTTCTGCTTTGAACTATATATTGACAGGCTGCCATAATTTTGCTGCTATTGTTTGATGCACCATTATACCATATACGGTCCTGCTCCAGTCTGACCATACACTGTGTATGGTCTGGCCAGCTCAGTCTGACGGTACACGGCTCCTGCAGTTGGAGCAGTGTGATCTGAGGATCAGGGCACACGGTACCGTACACCGTGCCGTACGGTCCTGCCCGCTCAGTGTGACGTGACCAGACCATACCCCACCCCCGCAGGTGGAGCAGTGTGAACTGAGGATCAGCGCGCCGGCTGACTACGGCATCAGCATCACTATCAACAGCATGAACTTGGACTTCCGGCGGAACCAGTTCACCGGCTCCATCAGCTGCCGGGACCACGTCCGGGTCCGTACCAGGGGGGGGGGGGAGGGTGGGAGGGGAGGGGTACTAGTTCACTGGGACCACGTCCATACCGGGGAGGGGGGAGTTCACCGAGACCACTTCCAAGTCCGTTCCGGGGGGGGGGGAGGGGGAGCAGTTTACCCGCACCGGCTCCGGACCGGAGGGGAGAGGGGGAGGGGCAGCTCACCAAGACCACATCGGGCTGTATTGAGGGAGGGGGGGGGGGCCACCGGCTCCTTACCAGGGGGTGTAGGGGAGCGGTCTACCGGCTCCGTCACTGGCCTCTACCGGGGAGGGGCGGGGAGGGCCGAGGGGGCAGCTCACCGAGACCACGTCGAGGCTGTGCCGGGGGGAGGGGGGAGGAGTTAATCGACTCTGTCATCGGATCCGTACCGGGGAAGGGGGAGAGGGATGGATACCGGTTACCGAGACCGGCAGTCGATGGGCGGGGAGGGGATGCTTTGCACTATTAGTGCATCGATAGAGTTATATGTTAGCTGAATCGCAGGAATGAGTAAAAGTAAATTCTGTAGCTAAAACGGTTGTGGGATGCAGGTAAATGTATCAGTGATGCTGACGACGTCCGATACTGTCAGACCTTGTCCAATGTTCGCTCCACAGAGCCCCAGGGAGGGTGAAAGGTGGGTATTTGTCGCAGGGCTTTATATATGAACATTACTTGTGCGATAGAATTCAATCTTCCTTCTGAACACCGATGAGCTACACACAGTCGGCTGTCGGTATTCGATGAATCAGTCGTCGGTGCGCCGTCACCTCGGCCTCTCCCGGTACCTCCCGTGCCTGCGATGGAAGCCGCTCTATCAGCTCGGACCCCGGCCAGTGTGCTGACTGACAATGCGTCGACTTTGGACCCGGATTCAATCCAACAGTCCCCAATGTGCTGCGAAAATAAATAGTAGCTTCGACGCTGGTGTGTGGAGACTTCTGTTTATAGACAACAGATGTATTGGAATATCACATATTTGGCGAGTTGCTTGTGAAACCGTTTGGGCGTATAGTGTAACCAAGGGCTATTTCGTAAAAGGGCGTAAATTTCGAGTGGCACTGCTCTCCACGCATTGGTTTCCATTCAATCAAGGAATCGATTTGTAGGTTTCTCCGTTCGCGATGGTGAAACTTTTGGAGAAAAGATTACTACGCTGGTTATGTTCGTTCACGAGTCCACGACGATGATAATCCCAATCATAGACCTCTACATACCCGGACCGGCAGACCCGGTATGTAGAGGCCTATGTCCCGATCCACCTGACTACATCTCTACTTCCCAGTACCGCGGCTCTGATGTACCGCTGCTTCTCAGTGCCGCGGGCCCGGTGTACTGCAGCGGAGCGGAGAGGATGACCGGGTATGCCCCCTCCATTTCAGTTCTCCCGGCCCTGGGACTCGTTTATGGCCAAGGCGCTGGCCAAAGTGTCTGACGTGTTCTCCGACCGCAGTGACTCAATCTGCCGGCAAAACTACGAGGTGAGTTCCCCTGCAGGCGGGGAGGGGGGAGTGGGAGGGCACTCACCCAGTCTGGGAATCCCCGGCTGCAGGGAAGCGAGATAACGTCACCGTGACTGTGAAACGGTGCTATCGCGCCGTCATTGGTCTGACGTACCGATTCCTCGATGTCAAATTGAGGCCTACCGTTTTACCTTGCAGAATATTTTGTGTTTTGGGAAATCGTCTTGCGGACACGTGACTTCTTTATAGTTGACATAGTTGTTCGTAACGAAGCTGTATTATTGTACGCTCAAATGCTTGGATTTTAGTTTCAACGGATTAGTACAATCAGGAAAAAAACATACTTGTCGGGATGCAGTGTAGGCAGAGCCGAGATCCTATCTCCGTGTCACTGATTCTGTGCTGTTTTTTTTTTTTTTACACGCCAGCCCGTCCCTATTCCACGCAGCCGGTGCGCCCGCTGACTGCTCTGTCCGGCCCGCTGACCGCTCTCTCCCGCCCGCTGACCGCTCTCTCCCGGCCGTGACCGACAGGTGGACATCAACCGTCCGGAACTGTACAACGTCGGCAAGACGGCCAACATCTTCCACTCGACCAAGAACGAGGTGGGCTTCGAGTACGAGCGCGGCAGCGACCGCAGCTCCGACAAAGAGTTCACCATTGTCGCCACCGCATTCAGGAAGACCAGTGAGTTACCCCGCTTAGGTGGATAATCTCATGGAAATACGTGGATCACTCTGAACTGCTACGTACATGTTGTTTATATGTTGTTAAGTGTATAGCATTAGCAAGCTGTTTGTGACGTCATGTTATGTCAACGACGTTAACTTAATTGCAACAGAAAAAAACATTTCGTAGCATCCAGTGAGCTGAAACAATACGTTTTTTTTGTGTTCTCTCCTAACTAAGAGCTAATGGCTTAGTTTGCTCTATCGGTCTCAAGATAAAGGCCCAGGCGACCGGTAGTTCAGATGCGGTGAATACCCTCACCCTCGCCATAACCTGGGTGGGGGTGGCGCCGGGTGGGAGGAGGGGTGCACTCGCCCCGAGCTGTGACTATAGTAAGGGTATTCAGTATTCACCGCATCAAAACTACAGGTCGCCTGGGCCCTTAGCTTGAGACCAATAGTACTTTCAGTGTCATTCCCAAAAGTGCAGTGTTTTATCGCCACCCACAGCTGTCCGTCCGTCCTCAGTCTGTTACCACCGACACTCTAACCCGGGTCCCCGACCGTCCCGTCCCACCGGCACCCTAACCCGGGTCCCCGACCGGCTCGTCCCACCGGCACTAACCCGGGTACTCGACCGGCCCGTCCCACCGGCACCCCATCCCGGGTCCCCGACCGTCCCGTCCCACCGGCACCCTAACCCGGGTCCCCGACCGTCCCGTCCCACCGACACTCTAACCCGGGTCCTCGACCGTCCCGTCCCACCGGACACCGGCACCCTAACCCGGGTCCCCGACCGTCCCGTCCCACCGACACCCCATCCCGGGTCCCCGACCCTCCCGTCCCACCGATACCCTACCCTGGATCCCCGACCGTCCCGTCCCACCGACACTCTAACCCGGGTCCCCGACCGGCCCGTCCCACCGACACCCCATCCCGGGTCCCCGACCGTCCCATCCCACCGGCACCCTAACCCGGGTCCGCGACCGTCCCATCCCACCGGGCACTCTAACCCGGGTCCCCGACCGTCCCGTCTGACCGGCACCCTAACCCGGGTCCCCGACCGTCCCATCCCACCGGCACCCTAACCCGGGTCCCCGACCGGCCCGTCCCACCGGCACCCTAACCCGGGTCCCCGACCGGCCCGTCCCACCGGCACCCTAACCCGGGTCCCCGACCGGCCCGTCCCACCGGCACCCTAACCCGGGTCCCCGACCGGCCCGTCCCACCGGCACCCTAACCCGGGTCCCCGACCCTCCCAACCCACCGATACCCTACCCTGGATCCCCGCGGCCGATCGGAGACAGCTCAGCCGCCGGCGCGGCGTCACAGCTCCGTCAGTGTTTGGAACGTCACACCGGCCTGTCACCAGACCGCTGTCAGCCTGCGCCCCGCCCCGGCCCGGCCCGGCCCGACCTACCCGCCCCGACCCCGGCCCGACCTACCCGCTCTGAACCCCTCACCCCGCCTCCACCGAGCCCGGCGCCCGCCGTGACCTTCGGTAGGACGGCTGCCCCAGACGGCTGGCTCGTTATTTTTTAACAGCTGACTTCGGGACACCGAATGCCTCCTAATGCAGCCGGTCATTGACCTGAGATCATGTTTGTCCTTTAGGGTAGGAATTTGGTCTTTGATGTGTCATGTAACGCACAGTATTTTGAACAGTTGAGTCGCCCTGTCCCAGACCTCGGCCACCGCTGTTTTGTCTGTAGGACATGCCCTGCTCCTAACCTGCGCCTGATAACCTAGGACCTCTGACCGCTGACCTGTCCCCTGCAGACGGCTCCTGCCCGGACGAGTTTATCCGTTGCGGCATCAAGTCGGTCAGCTACTGCATCTCAGAGCGGCTGCGCTGCGACGGCTTCGTCAACTGCGGCTTCCCCGGCAGCGGCGTCGACGAGGAGGGATGCTCCGGTACGTACCGTCAGCGACACTCGCCCATTTACACGGCCACTCAGAATTTCAAGCTGTAGCTAAAACACTTTTATTGGATGCTCTTTGACTTGAGATTGAAAAAAAAAATTGGCGCAAATGTGACTAAAACCTATTGGTTAATGGCTAGCGTGGAATCGCTGTTGAAAAAACCTCTGCATCCATGCTAAAATTATATGCTCTGTTGTTGTCTTGTCAATGTTTTCACTAATGCCGTTTTATTTTCGCTGCATTGTATCAGTGAGCATTTTCTGCAAGCTGCATAACCTGACCCTGGGCCTGGTCCCGTTTGTCTTCTTTTGGTAAACATCAGTGTCTCCGCGCGTTTTTTTATGAATCTGTCTCCCCTGGTTCTGTTGCCCGATGGTCCCCGGCCGCCCACTGACTCATTCCCCCCGCTACCCGCAGTGGCCAGCGGCACCATGTCGACCCACACGTTCGTCTGGGTGACGCTGGTGCTGGCGCTGGCCGTCTTCATCTGCTGTCTAATCTCGTGCGCGCTGCGCTGCTGGGTGCCCTCCCAGTCGCCGGCCCACCCCCGGCTGCGGCTCTGGTTCGCACCGCCCAGGTTGGTGGATGCGGACTCCCCCTGGCGGCCGCGGGGGAACTGATGGTATAGCAGGAGTTCGTGGTGGCGAGCGGTCGCTGCTGTGATGGTGACTAGTCCGCACCGCGCCTGATCTTATAGGGTTCTGATTCATTTATAAATTATAAACTACATTTAACTTCATAGAGCTTACATTCGTGCGTTGTAATGTGCATTATGTCATTTCTTACTATAATGTGGATATTCTGTTTCGAAGCAAATCGTCGTACTTGATTGCTTAACGTTATGTTATGCGACCCGTGGTTGTTTCAATAATGCATGCTCAGCTGTTCAGTCCCCTACTCCTGTAGACTCTGCAGCCTGCCTACATGTTGGCACTCATTTCCCGTGCACATGAGCCATCTGGTGTTCAGTTCTGCTGACCCTGTCAGACTGCCGACTGCCGCTGACTCGTGCTGACCCCCGCTGACCGCGCCGCCGTGTCTCTCCCGTCAGCCGGTCGCCGGCGGACAGCAGGCCGACCTCGTCCAGCGGGCCGGTGCCGGCCGAGCGCACCCACCTCTCCCCGCTGCCCAGCTACGAGAGCGTGGTGGGCCAGCTGGGCGGCATGCAGTCGCCGCCCGCCTACAAGGATCTGTTTCCCGAGCGGCCGGTCACGCCGCCGGGCGCCGACCTGCTGCCGCTGCGACCGCTGCTCAAGGCCTCCGACCGGCCGCGGACGCCGCCGGCCGCGCCACCGCCGGCAGTGCGGAGAGTGTGACACCCGGACAGCCGCCGACGGCGGGAGCCCGCCCGGTGGGACCCCGGCCAGCCATCAGCGCGGAGCGTGATCCCCCGGGCAGCCACCGGCAGTACTGCACCGGTTCTGACGGTCGGACAGCCTGCGGCGGCGGGAGTGTCTGTGGCGAGTGCCGAACGGTGGGTGAGTCGCTGAGTGACGACTACAGAGGAGGTCAGCGAGTGCTGGGAGTCCGCCGGGAGAGCGGACTCTGAGAGAGACGCTCCGCTCCGACCGAGAGAGCTGTTCTGCCGGTCGGTGGAGATGGAGACGGGACAGCCGCGCCGTATGTCTCAGTGATGTAGCTATGGCGCCTCCCAGTAGTTTATAGCTGAACAGCCCGGGGGAAGGAGTATATTAGAGCGCACACAGAACGGGTACACAAAGCAGCGCGCCCGTCGCTGTTCCAAACAGCGTCGTGTCCGTGTGCAGCAGAGCATGGCTCCCATTGTAACGTAAGAGTCGAATGGCAGAGTCAGTTATGTCGTTCCATATGTAATGTTAAGCACTACGCCCAGTGTTTCTTACTGGACAGGCTGTGGGTCTCAATACGCGCACGCTTCCCTCTGGTCAGCAAGTGTTCTCTCCGTGTGCCAGCAGGCTTGTGTATGATGGCGGTAGTGTTAGAACTCTGAGAGATTAGCGGAGGTCTGGCGACCAGTGACCTGCATTTTCTATGAGCTTATTGATCGTCTATTGTTGTAACAGATGGAGCAGCTCCCCAGCTGTGGGTGTTTACTACCTGAACGCTTGCTGTTGGCGCTTATTACGAGACTGAATGGATTTATTTTATTTGAGCCCTTCCGAATGGTGCTCTAGTTAAGATAGTACAATAACAGTGGTCTGCAGTGTCCTGTGCGCCGACGAGTGCACTCTCTGACCCATAATATACATTATTTTTGTACTTAGAACTAGTCGTGCGTTTGCTGCATCTGTTATTCTGTACTCCATACCTAGCACAGGAGTTCATATTTCATGGATGGCATTATCCTCCCATTGAAGTTCAGTGTTGTCAGAATTTAAACTTTTGTGTGAATACACAAACTGCTACTCGGTCGTCTTTTTCTTCTGACTTCTACACAATTCAGCATCTGTTGAATGACATAAAGGGAAACTTCGGACACAACGATGTGATTGTCAAATCACTTATGAACACTGATAGTGGGTACATTGTCATTGTATTCCACAGCTTCTTGGTGGACGCCCTCTCGATATCAATGGGTTGTAATTTTTGGAATATTGACTGGATTGAAAGTCTGACCGCCAGCGGGAGATTCGCGAATATCAATATGCTGCTAGATTGACGTACGCTAGTAAAATGTTGTTACATAAATGACGCAATTGCGACACAAAAAGATGCTGTTTTCCTACCGTTCGCTGGCGAACAGCAGGATAATCTTAATTTTCACTAATCAGAAGCCGGCAGACGCCAGTTGGTAGGCAACATGCGGGTAAAAAACAGCAGCTGAACAGAACTATGCAATATTCTCCATTTGTTTGGATCAGGGGGGTTCGCTCCCGTGGATTCCAGGACAAATCTTCGTATGGCATTTCTTCGTCGCGCAATTCTTCGTCCGCATTTCTTCGTCCGCAAATCTTCGTCGGCGCATTTATTCGTGTCGCATTACTTCGTCTCGCATTTCTTCGTAGGTGCAAAAATTCGTAGCGCATTTCTTCGTATCCGCATTTCTTCGTCGGCGCATTTCTTCGTCAAGCATTTTTTCGTCCACGCATTTCTTCGTCTACGCAAATCTTCGTCCGCATTTCTTCGTCCACGCAAATCTTCGTCTGCGCAAATCTTCGTCCGCAAATCTTCGTCCCCGCAAATCTTCGTCCGCAAATCTTCGTCCGCATTTTTTCGTCCACGCATTTCTTCGTCTACGCAAATCTTCGTCCGCATTTCTTCGTCCACGCAAATCTTCGTCCCCGCAAATCTTCGTCCGCAAATCTTCGTCCGCAAATCTTCGTCCGCAAATTTTCGTCCGCATTTTTCGTCCACGCATTTCTTCGTCCAATCAAATCTTCGTCCGCAAATCTTCGTCCGCAAATCTTTGTCTGCGCTATCTCCGTCTCCGCAAACACTCGTCCACAAATGTGGTTCAATAAAACCATGAAGAAATATCAGACAGTCAAGTGAATGACGAATTTGATGCATGGAATGGATGATCGAAACTTTTGAAGTCAGGTAGATGAGGTCAGTCAGGTGAAGCTATTGTATTTGGAGCCGACAATTGTAACATTCCATATCATTTGTGTCCCGGACATTCTTTTTTTCGCGGTCGTTGAATGACAATATAATCTCTTGTATCCTCGTCGGCATAGCCGGTGGAACGGGGAGGGCACCGGGGCACCGTTCCCCTCTTTAATTTTGGCCTTTAAACAGTAGCCCTATGGGCGTTGCATGGAAAGCATATTGGACCAAAAGTCGGCAGTGCCGTGCCCCCCTTAATTGAAGATGTTCCGCCGCTACTGCCCGCCGGACCTATTTGTTTTCTACGGTACACGCCGGCCGAGGGGGCGGGTACGACCCCCCCCCCCCCCATCGCCGTTTCGCCACTGGTGGAGCTAGCGCGTCGCGGAAAAAAACGAGCGTGTGCGCCGTTACGAGCCGCAGAGATTAATACCCGATTTTAAGGCCTTCTAGGTCAGGGGTCGGCATACGGCCCGCAGGCCGGATCCGGCCAGGTGGGTGACGGTTGGATCCGGCCCGCGACCAGCTGACGTCCGGCCCGCGGCTGGTATCAGCGACTTACATCGTGTTCCAGCCCGCGGTTCCTTCATAAATCGACTCCGATATAAAAGTGACTCAAATGTGCTTTGGCACAACAGTTCTTCCTTCGCACACTTCATGAGTTTATAAACACCATTTGCGGGTGTTTTTGTCTAATTCCACTTCTAGACACCCAGTAAACATGCCGACGTCGGCCCGACGTCGGGCCGAGGCTCGGCCCGACGTCGGCCCAACGTCGGTTCAACCTCGGCCCGACATCGGCTGGACGTCGGATATGCCCGTCCAGCCGAAGTCCAGCCGACGTCGAGCCGACGTCGGGCCGAGATCGTTCGTCGAGGTTGACGAGATCGTTTGTCGTTGGACCGACGGGGCCGACGTCGGCATGTTTATTGGGACAACGCGCCAAAAATATCAACTGGCGGCGGGATTCGAGCCCCCAGTCGCCGACGTCGGCATGTTTACTGGGACAACACGCCAAAAGCATCAGCCGGCGATGGGATTCGAACCCCGTGTCATTTGAACGCGATGTTAGTGCGCTAACCACTACACCACGCAGCCAGCTAACGAATTTGGTTTGTTTTGTTGGGTTATGCCCTTTCGGTCTGACGACCATTTCAGAGCCGGAAGGATCATAGGATGGAGACATTGATCTTCTTGGCGAGCACCCTGGGTCAAGTTCATATAGAGTCCCTGGTCCCATTGCTGTTACGTGACACTTATTGGAAAGGGCGACCCCACAATGGATTCATATAGCCACTCTTACACACCTGCACCAACGTTTCCCAAAGTGTCCCTTTGATAAGTGGCACTTTGGCAAAGTGACACTTGCCGACTGGCCTTTCTATATGAACTGGGCCCGGCCCTGGTGAGTTGCCGGGGCTGAGCCTGACCAAAGGATAGGCCGAGCAGCCCCCAAGCACTCACCGCACCCGGCTACGGGCGAGCTCGGCTTACGGGCAATTCCAAATGGGATAAAGTTTCCCGTCCAGTCCGGATCAGGGGGTTGCGGCGTGGAGGAAGATTTGAGTTTCCTGAGGATATTTTGAATACAGAAGCTCTTTATGAAACATGAAACATGTATTTTATATTATTTTAACGGTCAAAACAGCGGCCGATGTCGGTCCGACGTCGCCCCGACGTCGGCCCGACGTCAACTGGATCTCGATCCGATGTCGGCCCGACGTCGGCTGGACCTCGGCTGGACGTCGGAACATGCGGGCATATCCGACATCCAGCCGACGTCGTGCCGAGGTTGGACCGACGTCGGGCCGACGTCGGCATGCCGATGCCGAGTTGCCGACGTCACCCCGACGTCGGGCCGACGTCGGCATGTTAACTGGGCAATGAACTTGCAACGGTAAGATTTGGTCAGCAGCTTTTGCGCGCAGCATCAACGACTGCTGCAGCTGCGTGCACTTGGCGGCTTCACGTGGTCTACTCGCTTAACCTTCCAGGCGGTGTGTGTGTGTGGGGGGGGGGCGGGCCGGAACACGATGTAAGTCGCTGATACCAGCTGCGGGCCGGACGTCAGATGGTCGCGGGCCGGATCCAACCGTCACCCACCTGGCCGGATCCGGCCCGCGGGCCGTATGCCGACCCCTGACCTAGAAGGCCTTAAAATCGGGTATTAATCTCTGCGGCTCGTAACGGCGCACGCGCTCGTTTTTTTCCGCGACGCGCTAGCTCCACCAGTGGCGAAACGGCGATGGGGGGGGGGGGGGGTCGTACCCGCCCCCTCGGCCGGCGTGTACCGTAGAAAAGAAATAGGTCCGGCGGGCAGTAGCGGCGGAACATCTTCAATTAAGGGGGGCACGGCACTGCCGACTTGGTCCAATATGCTTTCCATGCAACGCCCATAGGGCTACTGTTAAAAGGCCAAAATTAAAGAGGGGAACGGTGCCCCGGTGCCTTCCCCGTTCCGCCGCCTATGCCGACGAGGGTACAAGAGATTATATTGTCATTCAACGACCGCGAAAAAAAAGAATGTCCGGGACACAAATGATATGGAATGTTACAATTGTCGGCTCCAAATACAAGCTTCACCTGACTGACCTCATCTACCTGACTTCAAAAGTTTCGATCATCCATTCCATGCATCAAATTCGTCATTCACTTGACTGTCTGATATTTCTTCATGGTTTTATTGAACCACATTTGTGGACGAGTGTTTGCGGAGACGAAGATAGCGCAGACAAAGATTTGCGGACGAAGATTTGCGGAAGAAAATTTGATTGGACGAAGAAATGCGTGGACGAAAAATGCGGACTAAAATTTGCGGACGAAGATTTGCGGACGAAGATTTGCGGACGAAGATTTGCAGACGAAGATTTGCGGGGACGAAGATTTGCGTGGACGAAGAAATGCGGACGAAGATTTGCGTAGACGAAGAAATGCGTGGACGAAAAAATGCGGACGAAGATTTGCGGACGAAGATTTGCGGAGACGAAGATTTGCCGACGAAGATTTGCGCAGACGAAGATTTGCGTGGACGAAGAAATGCGGACGAAGATTTGCGGAGACGAAGAAATGCGTGGACGAAAAAATGCTTGACGAAGAAATGCGCCGACGAAGAAATGCGGATACGAAGAAATGCGCTACGAATTTTTGCACCTACGAAGAAATGCGAGACGAAGTAATGCGACACGAATAAATGCGCCGACGAAGATTTGCGGACGAAGGAATGCGGACGAAATATTGCGCGACGAAGAAATGCCATACGAAGATTTGTCCGGTTACGCTCCCGTGCCTTCAGCATTACGAAAAATGGAAACAACCCGTGAGCAGCATCAGCTGCTCACGTATATGTTCAAGGAAAACAACATGTAATGGACTGCTGACGACGGCCCTCTCCACCAATCAGCGCTCGGCATCTCGAGCGCTGATTGGCTGGTAGCAAACGCGTCATATGTGGGTCTCATTTTTTTGCGATCAGTGAACGCGTTATTTAATACACAGTGGCCTATGGAGAATGGCACGCGGAATTGAAGGTCAGTGTTATATTGCTTCGTACATGCGAATGGGGGTATTTGAGTGGCATTTGACACCATTTTCGAAATCTACAGTGATTTTCTGATCGACTCATGTATATATTTTTATGAATTTGATAGTATTAGTGCAACATAGTCGGTGTTTTATGTTGGTGTTGTTTCTCTCGACCTTTGTCTTGGACTTTTATCATAACTTTTCTCGAAAATGCTTGCCATAACAAAGTCTAAACTGTATCTGTATAAGAGATAATTTGTGTTGAATATGAGGAGAAAGTAGTTATGACCATTCTGCCCATCAAACTGCCAGAAGGTGTTCTTGTAAGGTGATTGAAACT